TGACTTTTGTATACAAACTCATATATTTTCCACATTGGAAAACTTGAAAAGCATAGCAGCTCTCCCTGGCCCTACATTCATCTATCGGCATTGCATTATCTAATAAATCAGATGGGCGCGAATATTTCAGCATTCACATTCAAAGAGGACGTCTAATTTTCGGAAAAAACTTGTGAGGACTGAGAAATACTACTTGAAACTTCAACTTTCCACAAGAGACAAGTGGGACGGGCTCTCCTTGATTTACCCATCCGTACATTAAAACTAGAATGCTTATTTGATTAAATAGTTCATTTGATGTTCATTCGGGATCAACAAATCATGAAAAGATAATTTCACCTGAGAAATTTTGCTATTCGAATTTTAGTTGTATCTAAGAAAGTAAAAATTTTTTTTTTTTAAAAAAAAAAGAGTTCAAAATGAATAATACATCAGGAAACAAAGGCTACGGCGAAAGAACAAACAGAAAATAAGTACTTCCAAAACATTATAGAATACACCCAAATGCTTGCTCTCATAGACGGAATACAAAATATTTGAGGGGGCGAACTTTAATTTAACTTAAGCTTAAATATTTACCCTGAAATATTTTCAATTTGTTGCCGGGGCAAAAGTATTTAACCTCCCTTCCCCCGACACTCCCCGGTTCCATCCATGCTTATTTTAATGTTCATCGATAGCTCTTCTTTCCTTGTCTATTCAATTCGCTCATTTTCCCCTACTCTTACAATTGTCCTACATTGTTGTGCTATTAATAATGGAGGAAAAGGCCATCTGAATATAAATTGTTTGCAGTTCTTGAATGAAATATTGGCCATTTTGGTTTTGGAATTATCTATTACTCTTGCATTTGCCCATTATTCTTTAGGTGGACTTTTAGAACTTTAAAACTTGTTGGGCGTCATTGCTTGTAGAACTTTTTAGACTTTGTAGTCAAGGTGCAGGTATCCATGAAAATAATACAAGCTGATCATTAACCAGGCCTTGGGGGTAACTTTGGCACTCAATTTGTTACAAATTTTGGGTAGCTGCCTTTTTGTCATATTCAGGAATAAACAACCAAGGAGTACTGATTTTTTTTTTTTTTTTTTTGGAATGCCAAAACAATTAGCCTGTTAAAATATCGCAGACAACATGAAGAGAAAGTATCATGGTATAAGTTACGTCTACTTTTCTCTTTTGGGTAAGCAAATTAAGTTTTCTTTCTCTTGTATCATTTTGAAAAGATAGAAAAAATACACACTGACTCGAGTTAAAAGTTGGGAATTGCGTCATTAGAAATGTTTTTGGACTTAACAACTAACCCTTCTCACGATTTATCAGCATCATGATGGTTTATTAATGTTAAAGAGCTAGACAAGGAATCTTCTGAAAAATAAAAACAAAAAGAAGAAGAGCAATGAAAAGGACAAGCAAGAGTAGAAATTATTCCAAGGAGCCCATTCCATGACTCCACGTCATCTTCCCAAGAATTCTTTCCAATATTCTCTGTGGATCTTGTTGTTAACCACTGTTTAAATTTGGTAATTCTCTTAAGTATTCCCATTAAATTTTAATGCATTTGTATTGCATTAATTCAACCAACAACCGATTTAGAAAATTTAGCAAAGCACATCAACATTAATGTTGAAGTTTCGCAGAAAAAACCCAATGACACGTCAAGGATTGAAGCCAATTGGTCTCACAATCTCTTTTTAAATTTTGCAACAGTTTGGAACTTAATAGTTACTTGTGAAGCTGACAAGATATTTCTAGCAATTGACTCTAGCCCCAACTGAGTCAACAAAAATAATCATATTTAGCACTGCTTCTTGTGTATGTAATTTGCATACTTCCATGCTCGGATTGCCTGTATATTGTTACCAATTGGCGTTGTGTGTCCCATATCTAGAATTGAGCATAGCTATGGACAAAATAAACTACCTTTTCCACCTTGGAATTTTGTTGCATAATTTTCTGCTTGCTTGCTTTTCCATGACCACCACCAACATTACCACAGACCAACAAAAAAAAAAAAGAAGAAGAAAATGACTATTAGTTTGAGTCTTTTGCTACATGAAATTCCTAAGTTTGACCTGATTAGGCACTACAAAAACTTTTGCAAATTCTGAAACTAAATTCTAGATAACCCATAGGGAAACTCTGTAGGATTGACATAAATTCGTCAATGATGTTTGCCATCAGGAATTGCTTTTATTAACTAAAGAACACAAGGACAAAAAAAAAAATTTTAAAAGGTTGGAACTTTGTTTGAAAGGAAGGAAAAATTCCAAACTAATGGTTCAAACTAACCCACAATTTGTTTTGCTTAAATCAATTTATGAAGTTCAAATAGTTGATGCAAAATTTATAAGTTTATCTAACACACAATTGCATCATCATGTACAGGAATATCATATGATTATTAACTAAGTAGAGTTTATCATTTCTGTAAATATTAGCCATGCTTATGAATAGTACTACATGCATTGCTCGAAACAACAACTCCATGTCAATGATATACAATTTTGTCATTTTTTATCATGTTCAAAGACTTTCAGCATATATATGCGCTGGTTGTATGCAAATTTCTTTAGTTGTTTGAGAATTTTTTTAGTTAAAAATCTGAATTTAAAGATTTTGAGTTGCAAAATAACACAAAAGAAACTTAAAGTATGGACTAAATTATGGAAAGTAAATATAGAAAATGCTTTATAGTGTGCAGTTAAATTCTTTTTAGTTTATATATTTTACTTTAGCTAACGGAAAGCAATTCATTTTTGATGAAACACCACCACAAAGAATCACTATAAATGGAGCCATGCGACATGCTGCATGAACTTCCAAACTAGTCTAAAAGAAAAGTCCTAACACTCACGGTAGAATTATTTTGTGACAAGGAAGAAGGTTTTAAGTAAATTCTTTAAAACATTTTACCAGAAGTTAAATAATCACTTGGATCATAATTTGAATAGAAATGCCCAATTCTTATCAGTGTTTGAAGAAACTTCAGTTTACTATCCAATCATATTTCACTAGCACAAACTTTCTGTTAGCAGTATGCCCTAGAGCATTAATAATTATTGTCTTGATTAAAATAAATGGCACTTCTTGATTCAATTATCCTTGGTTTAGATTTGATTGAATGTTGTCCATTATTATTTGTTAAGGTTCCATTCTCGTGTGATGAGAATATGAGTGACGGAAAAACTTGGTACAAATAATATTAAATTGTTCCTAATCATAGGATTATTAATTGGGCAAGTTTAATCCAGAAGATTAGTCTCATATTTATTTTCTATGATTAATATGAGATATTAATGATAATAGAATGGCGAGTCTCATACCATTAAGTATGTGATACTAGAACAAATATGAGAGGCACTTGTGTGACAAGTTGGCTTGAACACTGACTAATTTAAATAATGAATCATTAGCTTATTAATGGCAATGATTCATTATTGATTGCAATGGTGCATGTGATCGTCAGACCTGAGATGACACGGTTGGCTCATTCATGGGTGGTTAAAGTCTATCAATGCAGAAAATACTTGTTCTAATCACGGATGAGTATTGGCATATGGTACCTCTAATTAGTTATGCATGGAGCCAAGTGTTTATGCAAAATGGGATCTATTATTCCATCATGAATGGTTTGATATCTTATGAAATCTATCAATCTTGACTAAAGGAGTTCTTGGCCAAGACAAATTGATTCATGTGGATGATCAATTTTATAGTCAAGTAATTTGATAGATTACGTCATACGATTGAGTTTTAGAGTTTGACATTATTACTAAACTGAACTCAATAGGGATATAGTAATAGAAGGATTTTTATGCAAAACAATTGTAGTCATGGTTCACATAAAAGGATTCCAATCTTTTCATCACCGGTTGGGTGTCATGATATGCTGCTAGGCATCACTCATGAACTATGTTAACTTGAGGTATGTTTGGAGAACTTCTCAAGTGTTAGAAATGTTCTAACTAACGTTAATAGGCTAACGTTTATTACATTGCCAACTGGGTAATGGACCTAGATAGTCACACACAAAAGGATTTGAACTAATAGGGAAGTTGATTAGAATGGGTTTAGACTTTGATAAGGATGCTAGCACATCTTGAAACCCAAGCTAGACGGAATTTGGAGTTGGTATTTGAGTATGACTCAAATATTATAAAGATGAAAATAATAGTTAATATAATTATATTAATTGTGTTTATATTTTGATGTGATCAAAACTAAAACATGAATTAAATAATTGTATTAATTGTATTCTATTTTTGATTTGATCAAGATAAGAATAAAAATATGAATTGGTTGTTATGATTTGATCAAGATGATATAAGATATTGATCTAATCAAAACAACTGTATAAATAAGCCTTATTGACAAAGAGTTGTTAAGGGGTCTACTAGGGTGAAAAACAATCACGATTGTTTTGGAAAAGGAAGAAAGCAACATCGTTGTTTCTTCACCACCGAAACAAAACTCCAAAATTCTGTTACCTATTAGTTTGAGTCTATGTGGACGAACTAGAGGCCTGACGTGTGGAAGGCTTATTGCTGGAATTCAAACATCTACATCAGGCATCGCATATTCGTCTGAGCAAGTAAGTACTTATTTGTTTTGAAATATCAAGGCCTGAATCAAATTGCAACTTCAAGCAAGAAGAACAAAACAAAACTGTTTGCTCATTCCGCTGCGCAAATATTTTTTTTCTTTCACTTTCCAGGATATGGTTTTTTTTTTTTTGGATGAAGACAATTTTGCAGGTATGATTCGCCAAGAGGTTGAGAATTTAACCTTACTTAAGATGCTGTCTCTATTTAATTTACACTTCCTCGAACATTTTACTAGAGTTTTTGACATCTTAAACCCATTTTATGCATTAATATTTGTAAACTTCTCAACTCTATAGGTAGCATTCCCCAAGAGATTGGCAACCTAATGCATCTAGAAGCACTTAAATATGGCCTTCAATAGCCTAACTAGGTCCACCAGCCCGAATGTTCAACATGTCAACGCTGCGATTGCTGGGCCTAACGTACAATAAGCTGTCTGGAAGACATGCATCATCCATGGGTTATGGATTAATCAAACTCAAAGGGCTTTCTCTCTATGGGAATGAGTTTGATGGGGTAATTCCAGCGTCAATCTCAAATGCATCTAAGCTAACTACTTTAGAATTAGGTGAGAATAGATTTAGCGGTCCAATTCCAAGCTCTCTTGGAAACCTTAGACTCCTAACATGGCTGTTTCACTTCTCTCTGCAAATTATTTCACAGCCGACCCTTCAACAAGAGAATTGAGTTTCATAAGTTACTTGCCAAATTGTAAGCATCTAAAATTATTGGGTTTTAATGACAATCCGCTGCACAGTTTCCTTCCAATATCAGTCGGAAATCTTTCAACTTCCCTGGAGAAATTCTATGCGTATGATTGCGGAATCAAGGGAACCATTCCTGATGCAATTGGGAATTTGAGCAATCTATTAAGTTTGCGTCTATCTGGAAATCAACTAACTGGAACTATTCCTGTCGGATTGAAATACTTGCAAAAGCTTCAAGCTTTAGATTTCTCTGGTAACCAATTAAGTGGTCCGATTCCAGGTTGTCTTTGCAAGTTAAACAGCTTGTACGAAGTATATCTGGAACGAAATCGGTTTCATGGCTCAATACCATCATGCTTGAGCAATGTTAGTTCGCTGAGAGGAATTTTCTTTGACGGGAACTTCTTAAACTCAAGCATACCTGCTAGCTTTTGGAACCTCACCGATCTTTTGAAGTTGAATCTGTCATATAATTCCTTGATTGGATCACTACCTCAAGAAATTGGAAATTTGAAAGCGGTAATACAATTGGATCTGTCAGCAAATCATCTTTGTTGCAGTATTCCAAGTCCCATTGGAGGTTTGCAAAGTTTAGAGATCCTTTCTTTAGCCCAAAATAAGTTTGAGGAACCTATTCCAGAATCACTCGGTCATCTTTCAAGCTTGGAGGTGTTGGACCTATCCAAAAATAATCTGTCAGGCCTGATCCCAGAGTCCTTGGAGGCACTTTCATATCTGTATCACATTAATCTTTCTTTCAACCACTTAAGAGGAGAAATTCCCTCTAGCGGTCCTTTCAAGAACTTCACATATGAATCATTCATATTCGATGATGACTTGTGTGGTGCTCAAAGATTTCATGTTCCTCCGTGTAGTTCTCGAGAAATTCCCTCTAGCGGTCCTTTCAAGAACTTCACATATGAATCATTCATATTCAATGATGACTTGTGTGGTGCTCAAAGATTTCATGTTCCTCCGTGTAGTTCTCCTTGGATCCACAAATCTGAGTCGAAAGAAAGTATTTCACATGTTAGGCATTCTATCAGGTATTGCAGCATCGGTAATTGCTGTTACAACTGTTGTAATTTTACTCTTAAGATGCCGAAAGAAGGATGAGGTTTCAACAAATAACAACTTACTATCCATGGGATTGCCATAAAGGATTTCATATTATGAGCTTGTGCAAGCAACCAATGGCTATCATGAAAGCAATTTACTTGGCAAAGGGAGTTTTGGAGCTGTATATAAAGGTATTCTGACAGAGGGGACAGTTGTAGCAATGAAAATTTTCGCTTCCCTAGCAGAAGTCACTTCCAGGAGTTTTGATATGGAATGTGAAGTCCTACGCAACCTTCCCCGTAGAAACCTAATCAAAGTGATTGCTAGTTGCTCTAACGTCGACTTCAAAGCCTTAGTGCTTGATTATAAGTCCAATGGGAGTCTTGAGAAATGGTTGTGCTCTTAACAACCACTGCTTGGATCTACTGCAAAGGTTAAGCATAATGATAGATGTTGCTTCTGCATTGGAATATCCCCATTTTGGTTATACAACACCAGTGGTTCACTGTGATCTGAAACCTAGCAACATATTGCTCGACGAAAATATGGTTGCTTACGTAAGTGATTTTGGTATGGCAAAGTTTTTGGACGAAGGAAATAGTGTTCTGCATACCAGGACACTTGCAACGCTTGGATACTTGGCACGAGGGTTGGCATATTTGACTTCTCTTTAATTGCTTTATATCAGTTTCGTTCATGAATTATATGTCATTCTCCAAGTTTTCTATTTTTTTCCCTTTTAAGTGTGACGGATTGCCTTTTATATCTTGAGAAATTTCTAAGTTTGTGATGAAATTTAAAAAAATTCTACAAAAGGGGCGATTTCGGTGAGGTATTCCGTGGGGGGTCTTCACATTTCAGGAATGCGAGCTCAGCAGAAATTTTTTTTTTTTCGGAGGGCATAGTGAGCTCTATAAGCGAATGCGAGCTCTCCCAAATTTAAATTTTTTCGCATTTGCAGCAAAGGAATGGACTAGTGCATACGCAACTGGTGCATGACAAAGAAGGCAGGATATCGTGGTTAAAAAGGATTTTGGTAACTCTTGTTGTATGTTTAATTGACAGGCAAGTTTGTCGTTTGAGTAATAGATGAATTAGTCTTTCAAACTATGTACCATTGGTGTCCCTAAAACTTCCGCATTCAGCTGTATTTTACTATTTTCCGGTTTAGAAGGCTTGCTTTAAATATGTACAGCCGCCGTGCTATATTTTGTTATAAATTTAGTGGTAAGGTACACTTCTATAGATTGCTTGTCATACATTTTAAGGATAATTATAGAAACTTCCTTTAAGATTTTTGACAATTTCATTGGGCTCCCATAAGGTTTGCAAGACTACACCTGCCTACCTTGATTTGATTTAACTAAACATTAAAATAACATTGACTTAGGTCAAAGTTTTAAATGAGTAACCTAAAATGCTGATTTATTATAGTGATAGGATATTTTTTTATGGTGTTTATTAGGGATTGATTGAGAAATTGTTGAAATAATTCTTTTAAAGTTCGTAAATTTTTTGAGTGATAGAATTACCATAATTTGGTAGTTGGGTCATATCTTTTAGATTTATTATAAGTATGACTTTCAAAAAATTAAATTCAAACTTGCTAGGAAAAAAATTTAAAATGAAATTTACGAGCTCCCAAAAAAATATAAAATTAACTGTAAATGTTGTTTGTTTTGTAGAATTTGCCTTTACTAAAATGCTGTCGGTAATAAAATCTTATTTTAAAAGCTGTACTAAAATCTTAAATTTCGGAGAAATGTTATTTAAAAATCTGTAATTAGCAGAGGAATAAATTTTATTTATTTTAAAACTTGCACGTGCCTAAAGTCATCAAATATGTGCTCTAAAAAAAAATCATATTTCTTTTATATTAAAAAAAATTGGCCCAAGTTCCGTCAATGCTCCGGCTCCAAGAGAAGAACAACCGGGACCTGCAAAGAGCTTGGAATGCCTAGCACTTGATAAACTAATTAAATTTCATAAGCAACAAAGTTAAACTGGCAACATTTAGCAACAATACCTCCATTGAGCCACAGGACAAGTGGATTAGATGAAGAGTTTCTTGGTGATTCGACAAAATAGTAAAACAAAGCTCGTCCTGACCTGGGATCAACAGTAACATATCGCTCAGCTCGCATTCGCAGAATGCAAGCTCCAATGCGAGCTCGCATTCCCGGAATGCGAAGACCCTCATTTGCAGTATACACTCCAAGAACTGCCCTCGTTGTAGAATTCTTTTTTTTTTTTTTTCCATCATAAACTAAGAATTCACCCTTTATATCTTAGAGTATGGACTTGAAGGGCAGGTGTCAACAAGAGTTGATGTGTATAGTTTCGGCATAATATTGATAGAAACCTTTTCAAGAATGAAGCCTAATGATGAAATGTTCTAAGATGATTTAAACCTCAAGGGTTGGATTGAAGAATCTCTCCGTAATGCAACAACTCAGGTTATAGATGCAACCTTACGTGGGCAACAAGATGAGCATTTCAATGAGAAATTGGAGTGTCTTTCAATGATTTTCAAATTGGCTTTGCGTTGCTGCACCGACTGCCCGCATGATCGGACTAATATGAAGGATGCTGTGGCAGCACTCCAGAAGATCAGGCGTAAACTCGAGTCTTCTCCCCGTATCTCAGCATGAAAGTGTGTTCCTTTACTTGACCCAACCGATCGAGTTTGTTCTACTCAAACTTCTCTTTACAATATCTTTGATTGCAAGATGATGCCGAGATTTGAAACATGAAGCAAAAATACATTTTATTATCCACCATAGGTATGCTGATAAATCAATGATAAACTATTAGGATGCCAATTGTATGTATGGAATAATACTATTTACAGTAGACTAGACAAATACTATTTAGATTCGATGGATGGCAGTGACAGAGAGAAAATTTTCCCACGAGACAAGTTTTACTATATTGCCTATGTTCTGTTTTATGTTAACCAATAGACCTATAGGCACTTCATTTCCAATAAAAGGATTGCATCTCTAAATTCTTCATCATGCCAGTAACTGGCAGAACTGGTGTACTCTGCTTATCCTTCAAAACAAGAAGTTGGTGTGTTAGGAGCAAGTTAAGGGTGTACATTAGTGCTAGAAACAGTAGCAGAGAAAATTATTCTGGAGATTGTCAGTTTGGTTTGCATCTCTGTTGATGCAAGAATTACTGCTGCAAATTGAGAAAAGATTTAGACGGAAATGAAGTAGATTAGAAAGTAGCACTACAATAGGCGTGTTAGTCATGAACAAAAACATGTAGTAGAACGTCAAAATTATGTAATTTAATGAACAACGAAAATTATAGATGGACTTGTGCTGTTAAATTTAAAACACGTTCCTTCATTTTTCATTCAACTACTTAATCTTTCAGTGGAGTTTCGAATTCTACTTTTAGAAGAAAATCTTGCTTTATGATAAAGTTGGTCATTCTTTTGTTTCATTCAACTACACACTCTTTTGTTCTTCTCGGAGTCACAAAAAGAAAAGAAAAAAAATTCTTAATTTTTTCAAATCGTTAAATAGACAAAAGTTTTTGACAAATTTTACAATAAATTATAATAAAATTTTATACACATACCTAAAAAACTCACCATCCAAACCGACACTGTTTGAGGCAAATATACATTTTAGATGTGACATCATTTGCAAATTAGAATTATAATGCCCAGCTGTAATGCCCATCTGATACGCCAGAAGGAATATCATGAGGAGCTTCATCACAACTACCATTAAGCATGTCTTCAGGGAAGCAAATTGCTGTGCAGATCTTTTGACAAAATGGGGTGCAAAAACAGAGGAAGAAGGCCTCAAGGTGTTCAATGACCAGCTTGCGACCATCGCAAAACTAGTAGAAAATGATTGTAGGGCATTTTGTTTGCCCCGTTTTGTAAATTCGAGATTTTAAACTCGATCTTTTGCACTGGATCTTGTACTGATTGTTTGAAATTTAGTAACTTCTTTCTTACCCAAAAAAAAGGGCAAATTATCCGATTGGCCTTTTAACTCTTTATCTAGGTAAAATTAAGCCCCCCATCTATTTTTTGCTGACTTTAAACCCTTTAACTTGTAAAAGTGGGAAACCGTGGCCCTTTTAGCCAGTTTCTCCAGTTTTGTAACCGGAGGACCAATTCACACGAATGCAAGTGTGCTTCTTCAAAGGGTATTTTTGTCCGCATATTCTAAACAAAAAGGGCATAACTCCTCCACCTTCCCTCCATTTTCCTAACCCAACCCAACTGCTAGTCGAAACTTCACAGCAACAGCCTTACCCATTTTTATCTTCTCTTGAGGATCTTTGCGGAGGGAGAAGAGCAAGAGAGAATCAGCACTGTTGGGTTTGGGTATCATCGACATTGAAGCAAGAATGGAGAGGTGGCAAATCAGGCCGGAAAATGAATACTTTGATCCTGTCCTCGCTTACACCAGGGTAAGGGCCAAGTGTAGGGAACCATGTAAATGGTTTGTATTTGCTTCAATAGAAAAGGTTCTGGGCACAAAGGACTTGGTAGTAAAGACTCTGCATGATGTTCATGAAACATGCAACCATGCATGGAAAAATAAGAATATTACAGCCAAGTGGCTGTCTGACAGGTATGTAGAAAGGATAAGATCAAATAATAATCTGCCAACAAGAGAGTTAAGGCAAACAGTCCATGAAGATTACCAGACAGAAATATCTAAGCATGTTGCAGCTAAGGCGAAGACACTAGCTATAGAGAAGATCAAGGGGTCAGCTGAGTCACAATACAAGAAAATATGGCAATATTGTGAAGAGATTAAAAGGACTCATCCTGGCAGTACAATGGAGGTTATGTTCACTCCATTTAGAGAACCTGGATGTAATCCAAGGTTCATGAGGATGTACTGCTGCCTTGGCCCACTGAAGAAAGGCTTTAAAGATGGGTGCAGACCTATTTTGTGTTTGGATGGATGTCATATTAAAGGTAGATACCCAGGCAAGCTGTTGACAGCTATTGCAGTGGACCCCAACAACGGCTTTTGGCCAGTTGCATGGGCAGCTATTGAAAAGGAGGCCACGGAGCAATGGAGATGGTTCCTAACCCTCTTGAGTGGCGACATGGAAATACAGAACCAGGGACATTATATTTTCATGTCCGACCAGCAGAAGGTAAAAGCTTAATGAGAGCTCTAAAACTTTTATTCTATGGTAAAAATAAGCCCCTTAACTTTGCATAGCAGAATGTAAGCCCCTTAACTTTTAGTGTAGGTAAAAATAAGCCCCTGAACTTTTAATATAGCATACTTGTTGCCCTCAAACTCACCACTTGGCTTGGATATCTAACTTATACCTGTTGTGATATTTTTTGTAGGGACTAGACAGAGCACTCACAGAGGTTCTATCAAATTCCGAACACAGATACTGTGTTCAACACATGTATAGGAATTTCAAGAAGAAACATCCAAGATTAGGTTTAAAGGATCGATTGTGGCATATAGCAAGCACCACAACAGTTGAACATTTCAACCAAACCTTGGATGACCTTGAAGCCTATGACAAAGAAGCATATGCATGGGTGAAGAAGGGACCACACCCTCGACATTGGTGTAAGGCCTTTTTTTCCAAACATACACAGTGTGATATGTTGGTTAATAACTTGCGTGAATCATTTAATGCCCATATTTTAGAGGCTAGTCTATTATTTCTATGATGGAGGCTATTAGGGAATACCTGATGGAAAGGATCCAAAAGAGAATGACAGCAATGGAAAAATACAAGTTAGATGGTGGACCACTCATTAGAGAAATTGTGGAAGAAAGGGTCAAACGTGTAGCACAATGGGAAATAACATGGAATTCAAGCTCAAGTTATCAAGCAAAAGGGCCACGGGGAGTCCAATTTGCTATTGACCTTGACAAAAATGAGTGCACCTGCAATTTGTGGGATTTGAGTGGCATTTCATGTTCCCATGCAATTGCTGCTCTACATAGAGCTAAAAGGATCCCTACAAAATGTTGGCTAACTGCTATCATAGGGAGGTATTCTTTACCATCTATGATAATGTGTTGCAGCCTATTAATGGAGATATTCAGTGGCCACAGTCAGACATGCTGGAGTTGGACCTACCAGCAAGTGTCACTCAACCTGGTAGGCCAAAGAAAGCTAGAAAGAGAGATGTTACAGAAGGAAAAGAACATGGCAAAAGGTTGCGAAAGAGGGTTGTAATCCACTATAGAAAGTGTGGATGGATTGGACATAATGCTAAAACTTGCAAGAATCCTCCTAAGTCATCTACTGAATAGCAACCTTCTCAACAACCAGCACCTACTGGACAACCATGTAATCAGCAGCAGCACAAAGCACCAACAAAAAGACAACGTGTGCGTTTGCACTTCATTATAACTTTTAGCCTGTTTGTGACTTTTTTGTTTTGTGATCTGAAATGCTTTCTTTAATATGTAGGTAAGCAAGAATCAAGGACAAAGAAATCAGCAAAAAAACTCAGTAGCAGCCAACACATCAACCTCAGTCCCAGCCTTCTGAGCAGCAGCCAACACATCAACCTCAGTCCCAGCAATCCACCTCAAGACCACCAGTTCATAGGCACAAGAGAAGTACATCAAAAAGGCCTCTAACAGAAGTAGACAAAGATTTTATTAATCTCAACTATGCTTATTTGGGTAAAGATCCACCTTTCAATGTTGGAAACTGGCAGGGAAGAGGTGGAGGAAGAGGAAGAGGTAGGTGAAGAGGAAGAGGGAAAGGTCTATCTGGAACAAGTTCTTGAAGTATTGCTGGACCTGCAAATATTTTTGTGTGATTTTGTTGACTGTAAATGGATGTAACTAGAATGTTGAAACTATAAATGATGTTTTTTTGAATAGGCTTTTGTGGGGAATCAAAGCATGTGTCTGTGCTTGGTATCTAGCAATATGGACACAGGTCACTGCTTTTTGTGTATTTGTCTGTTTCCTATAAAAGTGATTGTTGACTGTATTTGCAAGCAAACATCATTGTAATTTCCTTTTGCTAATTATATTCTAATGTTATGCAGTTGCTATCTTATATTTGTATGATTTGGTATAGCAGTTTTTGTTGACTAGGTAAATCAAATACATCCAACAAAACCCATGACATGCGAATTGGGATAAATAATTCTCATCACATTACTTGCCGAAAATTACAGTTAGCATTGATTGGGTTCAACCACACTTTTACACTAATCTGTGGGTACAACAAAAACTTGTTTAAGCTAAACAATACAATATACTTCTCCCTAACCATCTGTATCATACACCATAGATCCATTTCCTCCATCCATGGTCCTCAAAACTGGCAGTACCGATGGCAATATGTTACACTTACACACTGCCCTTCATGTATCGCCTTCAATTTGCATAATCCCATTACATTTATCCCCAATTTGAAGCATCCCAAGAGAGACTCCACCTGCAATTTTTTTCTCTGTAAGCACCATTATTACAGCAACCAACCAACTTACCACAAGAACCCTTACAAGGAACTTATTCAACTATTTCTGCCACTGCAGCTGCTCCTCTGTTTCTCTCAATTTTGCCTTCAACTTGGCAGCTTTTGCCTCAGATCTCGCAGCTACAGTTTCAATTCGTCTTTTTGTTTTTCTGTTGCATTGATCCTCCTTAGAAGGCCTGGTATCAGCTCACTAGAACGACGGCACATCTCGTCGTCAATCCAATTCCAATACCCGCAGCCACCAACTTCTTCTAAGCAAACAACGTACCTTCTTCCTGGATTTCTATCAGTCCAAGAAGTAATCATCTTCATGACTTTACTGCAACGACAAGTAGGAAGCAGAGGGCCACGATATTTGCGCATCTTTTCCTTCCCTTCTCAAAGCTTTTACCTTCTCTCCCTTTTTTTTTCCTTTCAGACTTCTCTCTTGCTTCAATGTCGATGATTTTTCGGCCTGATTTGCCACTCCTTGTTGCTTCAATGTCGATGGTACCCAAACCCGACAGTGCTGATTCTCTCTTGCTCTTCTCCCTACGCAAAGATCCTTAAGGGAAGATGAAAATGGGTAAGGAAAATGTAGAAAAGATTTTCTCTTGCCACTCCATTGTTGCTTCCATTGTTGCTGTGAAGTTGCGACTAGCAGTTGGGTTGGGTTAAGAAAATGGAGGGAGGGAGGAGTTGTGCCCTTTTTGTTTAGAATATGCAGACAAAAATGCCCTTTGAAGAAGCACACTTGCATTCGTGTGAATCGGTTCTCCGGTTGCAAAATCGGAGAAACTAGCTAAAAGGGCCACGGTTTCCCACTTTTACAAGTTTAAGGGTTTAAAGTCAGCAAAAAATATGTTTTTAATTACACTTAATTAAATTCATTGACACTTAATACATCTGACATGTTTAACTATAAAGTCATCTGACTTGATTTTAATTACATGTTTATGTCTGATCAACATGAACATGATCTTTGAAGTTGAACTTGTATTGAACTAAAAAGTATGATACAACCGTGCACTAAATAGATGAACATATTTGGTCTAATTACGAGAATAGATTAGGATTTTTGTGATGCAATTATATCACTTAGGATCTTAAAGAGTTTAATTAAACACTGGTGATATTGAGAGAGATGTAAGATTTAATTAGGCACACCTTAGATATTATTGAGAGATATTTTAAATATAATTGTGTGATGTGTTTATAGTTTATTAAGCAATTAACTAGAAAATTAACTCAATTTTTTGAAAATCAGATCTACCCAAATCTAGGCCTAAAACTTGACGCCCACAAAGATAAATCTCAACCGGCTTGGCACCTGTGTCGATCCGAATAACTGTAAGAGTACAACTTGTTAACTCCATTAAATAGGGGTTGACAGCACCACAACTTGAAATTGCAAATTTGTGATGCAAGATGGTTAGGCAGACAATGTAGTGGCGAAACAATGTTTAAATAGGTTACTAAAGAATATCTAGCCAAATTTATGTGACTGTTCATTTTTTTTCCTTTTTATAAACTTATACTACTATTATTTTCTAACACTCCGCTTGATGCCTAGTATTCTAAATATCATACTCTCCATATAAACAATATTTGTAAGAAGTGTACACCTAACTCACTCACTAGATAAGTAATTTGTCTTGCCTCAATTGCTCGAAGAACTAGAATCGTAATGACTTATTTTTTAGTTCAAGAAAAGATTTCATGTCTTATAAGAGGAAAGAAAGAAAGGGGAGACATTAAGGGTCGAATCAGTAGTTTCAAAATTTCCCTAATTAATGTTTCTTATTAGCTATGTTTGATTTGTGATTTTAAGAGCTTAAGGCTCTAATCATAATGGTTCTTCATAATTCGATATGCAGTGTGCGTGATCACATATACACGACAAGATTAGGATCAAAGCGAAATGTTTCATTTACAACAATTGACAAATCAAGTTATCGTAAAATAAATAGACCGACAATACGCAGACTCGAGAAGATTAAAAATGTCTTATCAATTATTTTTTAAGTGTGCTTTTCAAATACTAGTTATGCATTGTAATATTTATCATCAAATTTTGATGGTATTATAATTGAGATGGGTTGCATCGATCAGTACCAACCTTTTAAATAATTAAGACTCTTCTTGTTAGAATGAGTTTTAATTAGCTAGAACTCAAGGACAGGTTGTGTGGCCATTTTTAAACCATAATGAGAATCCAGTAAGAAGTTAAACTACAGGGGAGGTATTTGTAATTTACCCTATTTATAGAGTGTGGCATGCAAAATTAATAACAGTTTTTAGCTATTCTAAATTCATTTCCATGACAGGACCCCAGATTTCTGTGTGTGTGATACAACTGGTTTTTAATAGTGACTTCTTTCTAGTCTCTACGCGTCCTTGGAGAAAAATTTTGAAGTCTTGTTCCTTCTTCAATGCATGCAGAGAAAATAGCAGTCAAAAAATTACGCAATTGAAACTTCCCCAGAAAATAATAATGCTGTAGTTGAATTTCCACCTTGCAAGGACTTGTACCACACTCAAGAGCAGTGTTATCACTCATCTGCTGAAGATTTCCATAAATTGGAACTGCTGAGAATAGGAACTCAATTTGAAAGAAAACTACTATAAGAAAATCTGACATTGGACTTAATTCGGACACAAAAATACAAGTCGAAACTTCAATCACTTCTTTCTATACAAACTTGTGTATATAGTCATGAAGACGACGTAGTACTGCTATTTCCCCATTGGAGTTGGACTTTCCTTGCTAAGTTCTGTTTTAGCTAGTATAGCCATGACCACCACAAACGTTACCACTGATCAATTAGCACTTCTTGATTTGAGAGATAAAATCAGTTTAGATCCGCATCAAATTCTAGCAAAAAACTGGTCCCTTGCAACCTCAGTTTGTGACTGGAGAGGGGTCACTTGCGGCTTTCATCACTACAGAGTGATTGCCTTGAATATCTCCAAATTGGGTCTTACTGGCACAATTCCTCCCTAACTGGGGAATCTGTCCTTTCTAGTGTCGCTGGATATGAGCTGGAACAACTTCCAAGGAGAACTTCCCCATGAATTGATCCATTTGCGCAGGCTACGGGTCCTTAATTTTGGCATTGTTTAAGAGGTTTTAGTCTAATGACTAAAGTTAGGATCTATCAATTAAAGATTTTTGGAATGTTTAAAAATGAGATGTATGACACTTTCACTTGGATAAAAAGGCAGTATTGAAGTAAAAATAACAAGTTTTAAGGGACTAAAATTAAGAAATACAAAGAATTTCACCTTGCTTAGTGACTATAAAGACGTTTTCAGAATTTAACCTTGCTTATGGAACTACAATTAGGAAATACCCCAAGTTGATATTTAGATGAATTTTCTTACATTTAGATGGAAGAGCATTTAATCAAACTCCATTAGGTTTCAAATTCATCCACTGCATTGACATTTGTAAACTTCACAAGTCTGCAGGTTCAATTCCGCCAAAGCTTGGACACCTAATGCATCTGGAATTACTCAGTTTGAGCAACAATAGCCTAACTGGTTCTATACCGAATCAAATATTCAACATCTCTTCACTACAAGTGCTGGACCTTATGAACAATAGTTTTTCGGGGAATATTCCATCAACTGTTGGTTATGGATTGATCAACCTTGAGGAGCTTTATGTCAATGTGAATAAGTTTGATGGAGTGATACCAGACTCGATCTCCAATGCATCTCAACTGAGTATTTTACAATTGTCCATAAACAAATTTAGTGGTCCAATTCCCAATTCTCTCGAGGATCTAAGGCTTCTAACTAGTCTAGATCTCGCTGGAAATCATCTGAC